ACACCATGTGTTTGACAAAATGCTTGTGAGACTTATTTTTATTTAAATGTCTCCTGTCCTCGGGAATGGGAACTGTTAGACATATAACTTTTTCTATTTCACACCCACTACTCTTAGATCCGGCTCCATACACTTGGTGTCCCTAAAAATGAACATTGGTAAAATTTTAAGTCAAACTATGCAATTAAATGAACATTGTTAAAATTGTAAGTCAAACTATGCAATAAAGATGAATGCATAATTGACCTTCGATTCCCCATTCCAGTTCTCTTCTCAGTCTTCAGTCACCATTTTGGGTCAGTCTGATCCCCCAAAAAATAATACTGACTCACACTGGAAATTAAAGCTACTAGTAAAAATATATATGCATGCAGCTCAAAGCTTTTAAAAAAAAAGTAGTAATATAAATTATCTTTAAAAATGTTAAGAAAAGTTGTTTTTTAGCTGTTTATTGATATGATTGACCTTTTTTTGCAATATGAAACGCAACTCATTCACTTTTAAAAGTTTCAGCTAGCTGATGTTAATTAAGAGGTTCAGAAGTTAGGATTGAGAAGGGAACTTCTTATTTTTTGAATATAATATTTTACTTTCAATAATATAAATACTTCAAAATAACTAATTTATATATTTTTTATTTATATAAATTAATTATTCACAAAATAAAAGCATTTGTAAAATAGAAAAAAAACTAAAGTAGGAGTAAAATATTATATTAAAAGCATACCAAAATAGAATTTCTATGTTTTTATTCGTGAAATAAGAGATAAAATACATACACAGTGTGAATCATAATCATATACATTATCAAAAAGTATTGTAAAATACTCATACACAATTACATTTCATTTTATTTAGTCCAAAGATTATTTTCAAACACAATGAAATTGTATACCGGATTTCAAAATGCATAATCATGTATTTCAAAAATAACCTTTATTTTGAAGAAAAAAATATTGTATTTTGGAAATCAAGAAAATATAATTCCTTAGAATCATTACACTATGAAAATCATATTTTCTCACTCAAATGAAGTTATATACCTTTCTGGTTAGTGCTCCCATACATGATGCAAAAGAACCATTGATGCAACGTTTATGAATGTTCAAGAACCATTGTTATAATTTTTAAAGTTCAAAAATAATCCGTACAATTTTTAAAAATTTTGAAAGTAAATAACATTAAAAACTCTTCTCAATTTTCAGACACATATAAAAGCCGATATTTCCATATATATGGACTTTGATTATAGTCAAACTGTTTAGTGTACACACTACACTTATCACGCACTCAAACTAAAAAAGTGAAGAGTCTTTATATGATAGGAGTTGTGTGTTTGAATTCAAAGATTTTGGGTTTCTATAGCATTTTTTTTCTGGTTTTTTTTTTATTATTTGGCTTGCAAGCAAATCAACCAATAATATAAGTCTCAATCAAATCAAGCCAATCCACATGATCCCCCACCTTAGGTCCCATTTTCAAGTGATAAAATTAGTCAAATTAGGAGTTCATCAAAAAGTTGCTGGAGATGAAGCAAAAGCTGGGATTGCTTTTTGATGAGGGGTCAAAATGCTTAGAGGGGGTTGCAATAGTTCTTGAATTTCTACTCCAATAAAACACAATTTTAGGTGCTTACAAATCACTTTTAGATTACGGATTGTGACTTTAGAAGTGTAAATAAATTGTGTTATAAAAGTACTTTTCGCTAAAGTTTAGAGTAACTGTTTTCAAAAACTCACCACATTCAGAAACACTCTTTTAGCTCCTCTCGTCGTCGTTAACTGGTCTTGACATTTTGATATCGCAGAATTTTTGAAAATTATTTAAGAAATAAACAAAAATTACCTAAATAAAACTAAAAGATAGAATTAATATCAAAATAAGATCTCATATATTTTATTTTCTTAATTAATAAGTGTTGAAAAACTCACAAGTTGGCATTGTGTTGCCATTATCTTTTGACATTGTTTTGCATTATTAATATTATTTGGATATAAAAATAATTAAACTTGTTAATGAAGTCTTATTTTTGTAAAAAACTACTGTTAGAGTGCATCCCACATCGGAAGTTACCGAGTAAAATAATCAGTATATAAGCTCTTGAGTTGAACTAACTAATTGATTGGATTCAATCTTTTATGTGATTCAACCCAAGTGTCTTATTACCCAATTCGAGTCAAACTGGACGAATTTTGAACCTCAATAATCAAATAAAAGTTGTCAAATAATAGGACCCATTAGTAGTTGATAGAATTTAGGATGGAGTATGGGCAACTGAATTGGGTAATAAGACACTTGGGTTGAATCACATTAAAAGATTGAATCCAATCAATTAGTTAGTTCAACTCAAGAGCTTATATACGGTGACACGGAAGTACGACTTCGTAGAATATTGATTCAAAGAGCGTACACCGATAAAATTTGCTTAAATGCTCGGAGCCTGGAGTTGTAGCGTAGAGATTTAAAAATTCACATGCCTAATAGATCCAATACTTCATGTGGTTTAGGAAATGAGCATCAATGCCCCATCTATTTTCAAAGTTTATTCATAAATTTTCTATGTGTCAAGAAACAAACTCAACCAAAAGCTCAAGCTTGTGGCCCAGGAACAGTTATTTATATTCTAACACGCCCCCTCACGTGCAGGCCTAGTCTTTTTCTAGCCTTGCACGTGAAACTTTAACTTTTTTAAATTGGGCGGCACTGAGTTTCGAACTCGTGACCTCTTAGTCAACGAGGCTCCAATACCATGTCAAAGAACCAACTCAACCAAAAGCTCAAGTTTGTGGTTGTGGCCCAAGAACAGTTATTTATATTCTAACACTATGGTTTCAAAACATTGCACATGCACCCCTTCGGATAATTTTCTGGCAAAGATGAGGTATTTGTTCATATTTTTCAAACCAAAAAGAGTTGCAAGGCTCATTTTCTATTTTCCTTTTATTTTTTTATTTTTTCCCTTTTTATCTTTTTTTCTTTCCATTGTTTCTCTTTTTAAAGGTTCTTGAATTTTTTATAAATTTTTTTAATAATGTTTTAGAATTTCAAGATTATTTTTGTTTGAAATAAAAAGTAAACAAAATTTAAAAAATAACATATACTTCTTTTATCTCAAATTAAACATTTTCATTTTTGTTTTCTAGAATAAAATGAAAATCTTTTTTTGGAAAGTTCAAAAAATAAAATTAGGAATAGGAGAAAAAATAAAAATAAAATAAAAATGAAAAAAGAAATGAAAAAAGTAAAAATATACAAAAATTGCCTAATTGGGATGTAGCTATTGAGCGCGCTAATAAGGTTCCTTTTCGAGGCATCTAAAAAATCCTTATAATTGCCTAATTGGGATGCCCAAATGAGGTTATTTCTTGTACTTTTAAAAATGAAAACAGGACTTCTTTCATTTTTTGGAACATTGGGGCACTGGTCAAAAACATCTTTTTTTAACTCAATAGATTAAAAAAAGATGACTTTTTGACGTCTCGGAAAAGAAACTTATCAGTGCACTTCATCACTATATTTTCCCTTTTGTATACGAATATTATTTTGTAAGTTTTTCTTTTCTTTCATTTCCTTTTTCTAACATTTATTTTATGTTATTTCTTTTTCTACTATTTATTTTAGATGAAATGGTTTTTGGAGAGCAACCAATCCACTCGTTCCAAGTACATGTAAAGTATGCCTACATCTCATCCTCCTAAAAAAACAACATTTGTGGGGCTACATGTAAGTTCATTGTTGTTGATGAATAATGATCTTCAATTCATCTATATATCATGAGAGTTGTTGCAGATTTGCAGCCTCACCTATAAATTAAATAACATGTGTTATAATTTAATAACAAGAAGAAATTATTCAAGCTTGGGAGGAATTGAAGAAGATGAGGAGCAAAACTTTATTTCCTAGAATAGAAATTAGGTGTGTGGAAGTATAAGCTACCATTCAACTCATGGCATGCACCATAATGGATATGCAATGCAAAGCTTTAATTCATTTGCAGATGGGAGTCATGATTAAAGGGCCGGGGCGGGGCATCTCTTTGCATATTATTTAGCTTTTTTGGTTGCACCATAATGATGAATGTAGCTGTTATGGTGTCCCTCATGCCACATCCCTATGGATCTTCCTAATCATGCCACACAAACCTTTTCACTAACTCAGGGCCGGCTTTGAAGATTCGATGGGTCGGAGAGGCACGAAAAAATAGGCCTTGACCCAAACAAATTAAATAATACTGGTATAATTTCTTTAGAACAATAGTTAATATTGTAATAATACACATAACAAAATTCTAGAATTATAATTAAATATCACATAATAGCTATATTAATATGTGTATATACATAGATACATACATACATACATACATACATATGTATGTATGTATGTATGTATGTATGTATGTATGTATGTATGTATGTATATGTATATGTATATATAGGTAGGTTCAGGTGAGAATATCCTAACTGTGCAAATATGAGAATGAAACATTTTTAGACTGTCGTGATGCATTTTACACGTGGAGTATTCTGGAAAGTTCAATTTATTTATAAAATTGCCGCTACGACTTTTTTTATTTTATCAGATTTTTTTTTATTTTTAATAACTCTTAGATCTTAAATCTAATGGATCATATGCATTCTTATTTTTTCACTATGCACCATTCTCGTTTGATCCAAATTATATATTCATATCTAACTATATACAATGCTTGGATGCATTTTGGAACAGTGTTCCCGCCCATTTCTTTGGGCCTAATTGGGCTGCCTCGGGCTGGGTAGGGCTGGGCTGTTGGGCCGTCTGCTTTTGGCTGCAATTGGGGCTGCTTTTCAGATTGCATTGTCATGTCAATGCTTTTGATATAATTAAAGTGGTTCACTTTTCCATAAAGTTGCTTTAGCAAATGCGTGGCTCCATAAAAGGTGTGTGTCTCTAAAAAGCAAATCAAATACAATCCAAACAATTAATGCACTTATTAATCACTTATGCTTTAATACTGTGTGCGTGTGTGTATATATATAGAATGTTGTAATTGCTTGGCTATACACCTTTGATACACTGAAAAAGACCAGCATTAGAAAATTCACAACAATGGCTCTAGCTCCAAAAAACAATCGCCGCTCAATGTTTGCTCCTATTTCCGACCTAAACAACACTAAAAAATCATGGATTGTCATGTTAAGGGCTGTGCGTGTTTACTTTATACCGAGGTGGGCAAAAGGCGGGGATTCCATGGAGATCATATTTCACGATGAGCATGTATGGTATTCTCCAAGTTTGATTTTACTTTTCATGTTTGACTTGAAGCCATTTCCAGTTATTCAAAGCCAACCATGTTTGAATGATCAGCTCTTAATTGGTATTATTTTTTAAAACAAAAATTCGAGTAAATATTATTTGGCAAACGTCAAAATTTTTCGGAAAACACGTTACCCTCTTTGTAAATCACAAAATATTAATGCAGACGTGATTGGAAAGATAGTTGCTCGAACAAGTGTTCAAACAAACTCAAAGAGAGGCTTGGAACACAAATTAATGGAAGTTACTCTAGAAGATCATGAGTATGAGTTAATAATTACAAAAAGATTGTTAAAATAAGAAGATGCATATTCGGATATTGTTTATGATATACTATTACAGGGGAAATCGTTTGGGTTGCACACTATAGGGAGAATACGTGGACCGATTCATGGATTGTTTGACCCAAAACAACCAAGAACCGGTTATTATGCTTTTGAGCTTTTGCCGCCCGAGACGCTATATGGGTAAGCAACATTATTTTTTTGTATTTCGTTCTTCGTTATTTAAACATGAACGAAACTTAATTTGTTTGCCCATGTTTTGTAGGGATTGTGACTGTCTCTACTGCATTTCATGTTACCAAAATGATTTTCGATGGTAATTCTCCCAAGATTGAAGAATTTAGAGCAAGGTAATTTTCTAGAATTTTGTTTTAAATATACATACATAAATGTTTTGAATATATATATATATATATATATATATATAGTTATATATATATATATGTGTGTGTGTGTATATATATATATATATATATATATATATATATATATATATATATATATATATATATATTTACATATATAACCAAATATATATATTCGTATTAAAAAATTATTTCAAAATATATATTCATATTGAAATTTTTTTAAGTACCAGAAACATATTTAAATAAATATTAGTAAAAATCATTTTAGTGATATTAAATAGAAATCAATATAGGGAAGGAATAGACCGTAAGTATAAATCCACGCGCCTAAGCATAGGATATGATTACCTAAGTACAAAGCATCAAATGCAGCCCATGGACATGAATATGGAGAGCCGGTGTCTGGATACACTACCCGACAGCAAATCCATCACATTTAATGCCACTTTCCCATCACCCAATAAGTAAATTAAAATTTAATATTTGAAATTAAGAATTACCTATTTTAATTTCATAATAAAATAATATTAAACTTACGTTTAATGCAAAAAGAAGATTCGTATGTTAAATTAAATTAAGATCAAAAAATTATTACTAAGAATTTAAAATTAGTTTTTATTTTTAATTCGAATTGTTTTTATATATATCTACATAGAGGAAGGAATTTTATTTATTGAAAAACAATAATACATGGATAACAAAATTTATATTTAAAATAAAATTTTTATATAAATATAATATATATATATATATTTGAAATGTATATATATATATGTATATATATATATTGCTTTGTGAATTTGTGAATAATGTTAAACACATTTAGTTCAAAACTATACTTTTATATATATATATATATATATATATATATATATATATATATCTACATAATATATATATATATCTACATATCTACATATATATATATATATATATATATATATATATATATCTACATATATATATATATATATATATATATATTTATCTACATATATATATATATATATATCTATATATATATATATATCTATATATATATATATATCTGTGTGTGTGTGTGTGAGATTGTGTATTGTATATTTTAAATATATTATCTATATATATATATATATATATATATATATATATATATTTGTCAGACAGTGTTATAATAATATTTGAATTCATATTTAAAAAATAATAATATTGTTGGTGACATTAAAAAAATATAAAATGGTAGAGTGAAAAATTTAGTGTAATTCAAGTTAAAATAATGCAGTGAAAAAACACATTATAGCCGTGTACATCCAAACCCAGAGACCTAGCATAGGCCTAATTATGCTACATGCATTAAATACACTATAAATGACTACAAGTCTTTTACTACTTCTCTCTTCTTGGCTCATTTATTTCTAATCTTCCCAACCAACAACCACATTGAAGTTGAGCTTGAGCAATTCTATCTACCTTTCATATTTCCATTTCTAAGGTTAGTATTTCATTACCCTCTTTTTGTTCCTTATTAAATGTTTCCCAAAAAAATTTATTTTCCAATTATGATAAAAATTCTTTTGAATCTAAGCCCCCCTGAATGTTTGATTTCTGCCTACCTTGCAATAACGAAATTATACAATTCTCAAAAATTCTACTAATACATGAGATGACTAAGAAAATAGCTTTAATTCCAGATTATTATGAAATTTAATGTTCCTAAATTATGAAATTTAATGTTTCTAAATTAAATCCTAATTATATTCGTATCAGGTTACCTTGACTGCTAAGTCATTTGGGATGAGAAAGCTTACCAAAAACCAGGGGATCAATCCATTTATTCATTTCGAAGATGAACCAGACAAAGGTGACTTTAACACCTATAATAATTTGTATATATTGCTTAACATTGATGATCTGAAATCAATGACCTGTTTGTATGATAGAAAATAGAAAATATAGAGTAAAAATGTCATAATCATTAGCGACACAATCAGGAATGACTTTTTGAATACTTAGGTAATTAAAGTTTGGAATTACCTTTCTTAGTATTGGGCCCTCAGTGAATCATGTCTTTAGAACTCATTTCGTGCCATGAGAAACTGGTAATGGCCATATAGCCTTTATCATGCTCAAACCGTAAGCTGAACATGAGTATTGAGGTCTAATGACTATTTAAAACAATAACATCTACTGCCTATAAGAGAATATGAATACTGTTTTTGTTAAAAAAAATTATCATGGCTTTTTTTATCTCAGATTGGATACAGATATATAAACATATATATACCTATATACCATATACAAAAATATATATATATATTCTCAGTTCATATATGAAATATTAATGAGTAATATGTAAAATATTTCTAGGTACTAATAAAATCAATCAATAGAGATGGTAAATCTAAATTATAATTATTTTTAGCATAAAGGATATGTTAGTGTGCAATTGAACCTTAAACAAGTTCATAGATTATTAAACATGATTAATGAGGTACAATAGCTTTAAAAATCATAAATTAACATTCCAGATTTTAAAAGCACCGAAAAATAAAAATCTTCGGACCAACATGTAATTTAGTTTAAGAAATATAGATTTTTAGCAGAGATCATTCTTTTTCTCAAATACAGATCAAATATTGTATGTGAGAAGAATAAAAAATTCAGATCTGATATTGCATGAAATTGAATAAGTTAAATCTACTTATGTAACGAGTAATTCAGTTTAAGAAATATGAATTTTTAGCAGAAATCGTTGTTCTTCTCAATTGCAGATCTGGAACTTTAAAAAATTTTAAAATTTGGAACGAAACAAAAAAAAGTCTCATCTTTGAAATCAAAGGCTGTAGGTATAAACCCCCAATTTTAAGATCTAGAAATAGTGGATGTGAGAACAAGAAAAAAAATCATATCTGAGATTGCATGAAATTGAATAAAATTACCCGAAATAAAGTGTCGGAGTACTTCAAATACGAAGAAAGATGCCGGCGTCAACATCGGTAGTAACCAGATAACCATAGTTGACGATTCCAGTAGGCGGTGATTGTTCATCGACTAAGGGACGAAGGAGGAGGTTTCTAGAGAGATGTAGAGAGTCGTAGGCAGCGGCGGATAGGGATAGGTATGGGAATGAAAGATTATAAACGTAAGGTTGGGCCCAAATTATTTCTTTCTTATTTAACATTTCAACTGGGCCGATTTGACACACTGGGCCATGATATGTAGACTTAAAAAAATACTCTCTCCGTACTAAAAGTTTCTTCTCAGTTTGACTTTTCCCCATTTTTTATTTGTGGCTGTGACTTCAAATTTTACCCTCCTTAAAAAACAAATTTGAAATTTTTTTTGTGCAATCATTCAAAATATAGAGTTAGAAGATAATTGGTGTAAATACATGATGGTATTAATGTCATTTGTTATCTTTTTTTTCTAATGGTAAGGTAGTTTTAGGACGGAGAAGAGTGAAAGTTGGAAGAATGTTTTAGAACGGAGGGAGTATTAAAATATTCTTTTGGTTTCATTTCTTTTAAAAAATCATGATATACTTTTTTTTTTACAGATATAGGAGGAATTGGAAATTTAATTGATCCATGTTACAAGTGCAAACAGTAATGAAGATTCACTTGATATGGAAATGTGTTGGAAATGCTTTAGTGTCTCTGGTCATATGCGCTGCTTACAAATTGGCTTTGATGATTTTGGTCCCTATTTTATTTGTGATCATTGTTCTATTTTACCACCTCCATTGCCGACTCCATTGCACTGCACTCCTCCGCCAATATTACCTAATCTGCAACCTATTTCACCATCTGGGCAAGGAATGGAATTAACACCTACACTCGAACCGTTGAGAAGATCCAAAAGGCTTAAAATAGCCAACATGAAATTTTTCAACGATGACTATCTTCTTTTTTATTAACCTAAAACATGTATTGGTGTGACGACTATTTGCTTGCTATATGTTTTGGTTTGAAACTTAGTGTCACTGTTAGTTTTTTTTTGTAACGATATTTATGTAGTGTATAAGGAATGTTTAATGTCCTAAATATTGCAAAACGGTAATCATTTTGTTAGACATCAATGGTTGTTTTAATTGCCAAGATCCACCATTATGTTTTTTATTACTTATTTATATTTCGTTGGGCATTGGTATTATTGTATTATATAATCTAAGCATTGTTTACCGATTATTAAAAATTAATGAGATGTTAAGCATTAATGTTAGTTAAGTAAATATAAATATAAACTAATGTTAGTTAAGTAAAGATTTTGATTGGTAGTGAAGATCCTGCGACATCAAATAAAACAGTTTTCCAAAACTTATAGTTGTATTCTTCCCTTTACTGCATTAATTGTAAAATGCATCCTCTTAGATGTATACTATGTATCTTTGCTAAAACCAAAATGTTTCTCTTAATTATATCAATGTTTCCCCTAATTATATAATTAATATTAGACCGTGCAACGCACGGGTTCGAGTCTAGTTTAGTCTAAAGCTAAGGATTAATTATAATATAAATTTCAAAAATTAATTAAAGATCAAATATAAAAAAACATTTTTTTAAACAAAAAAAACTTGATATAAGAGATTATTTTCACAATTTGCTCAAAATGTTAATGGTCTTCTTCATTCGGTCCAAAGTGTTACAAAACTCCAAACATAACTCAAAAACTAAAAATTTAGAGCCCAATATGCCCCAACCGAAAGTCCAGTAATATACTATACGTTTTAATCCCGTATAAGAAGCGGGCCAGTTTCCTGACCACTCTAGTGGCCACGAAGGATATTGTCTTTATAAAGTGTTCCATTCGTAAAAATGAATATTTTCTATCTTCATCTTAATGCTAGTAAATCCCTCCATCCAATCCCGATTCTAACACATCCCTCTACTCACGTCAATTGCACCCTACAAGTTTAGTTGAGTTTGTAGTAAAAATAATTGACCTCAAAATCAACTAAACGTCTAGACTTGCGAGATATAATTGATTTGAGTGGGACAATGGCGAATCTAGGAATTGTAAGAATTGCGGGTTTGACCAGCATCATCTCTTATTTTTTATATACAAAATAGCAATGTGAAATTTCCAAAAAAATCGATTTTAATTCAATGAATCACTAAATAAATAAAGAAAAATCTCGAAAATAGTGGCCATAGAACCTAGTTGATAATTGATCTGCGAAGAGCAAGGTTGAAGTGGCTTTTGATAACTAACACGATCAACAAAGTCGTTGATCCGCTCAACTAACATTTGCTCTGGCATCGTTGTGCTAAAATAAGAGTTCTCATTGTCCGTTAACCAATGACCACCCCACACCATTGTGTTTGCACGATCTCTTATACAATGCCTTGACCCACCATTACATCCGGAACAACCAATATATTTCTTCAATGGTGACTACGAGTGTTCCCACTTCTGAAGTTTTACCTCTAAAAAAGAAGATATAGGGAAGCACCTAAGTATAAACACCTAAAAGAACAAAGAATCTGTGTTGGTAAAAAATTATCACCCATGTTTGCCCAGCATAACAATATCAAACATATGAATGGTTCGAAATCCCAACCCGGCAACTAGCACAATCAACTATTCCCAAAATATCGAGTGAATGCCTCATTTCATTAGCTTCTTTTCCCTCCCACCCAAAGACATTCATTAGCCTCTTAATTGAGGTACGACCTGGGGTATGGGACCAAACTAAGCTATTTGTGATAGAAATTATCCGTAGCAGATAACTCTAAATCTTGTAGTGAGAAGAATCTCCTTCCCCGCTTTGGACAACAACATCCACCACCAGACACTTAGATATTAATAAAAAGCGTAAATAACTTGATCAAATCTTGTTTTTAATTAGATATAATTTATAAGTCAACTTATATTCACAAAGAATCATGTGATCAAATGTCTTTCTTTGTCTTTATTAAAGAACTTCTTGTGTTTCCTTATTGGTCGTCTAACAAGAATTTTTCATTCATTTAAGAAATGAGATTAGTACATATCTAGATAATATTATCTTTAAATTATAATGTCCACACAAAGAAATCTTTTGAGAACTGAGAATATAAATAAAAATGACATATACTCTGTACGTTGTTTTTACCCATTTATACGCACAAAAAAGCACTTGCTTTTTTAGGAGTATTATAAATAGCCGAAAAGGTATACTAAAGCTTGTTTGGTGGACATGAGTAATAAGAATTTCCATATTTCTTGATATCAAATTAGATTTTTTGATGTTCGGTGAGGCATTATAACAATTCAAAATTGAGTTCTAAAGATGGATGTCTCTCTTGACCGTCCACCTACCATACCACGCCAAAGACTACCACAATTATCGCCAACCACACTCATTTCAAACCAGCTCTATCTCTCACTAATTACAGCATATATTATAATTTAAAATTTTATAAAAAGTTGTACTTCAACTTTCAAAATTTATACTCCATTCGTCTAAAAATTATATTCACGTTATGTGTTATGATATTTGATTGAAATTATTTTCAAGATTATCAAATGGACAATGATAATAAGATAACAAAGTAAATATTGTTTGATCCCATAAGTAATGAATTGGAAGATGATTTTAGACAAATAAAATATTTTTTCTAAGATTTCAAAATTTATATCAAAATTATCCATAAACTAATTTTTTCCAACAATAGGCACATGAGAGTGCTAATTCAAGGGCTAATCCCATAGACCCAGGTTCCTTAATATTGGAAAACAGGGTTAGTCACAGTGCACAATTTAAGCCAAACGATCTCTGCATTTCTTCACGGTAGCCGTCCAACGAAACTAAAAGACGGTCGGAGTCGGAGCGATACGGCGGGGAAAATGAGCGGAGCAGCGAAGAAGGCGTCCGACGTTGCGTTCAAGGCCGGCAAGACCATCGATTGGGAAGGAATGGCGAAGCTTCTCGTCTCCGATGAGGCTCGCAAGGAGTTCGCCACCCTCCACCGCGCCTTCAACGAGGTCAACTCCCAGCTTCAAACCAAGTTCAGCCAGGTCCCTTCCTTTTCCCCTTATGTGGATTTACGTATATGTGGATCTAAGTGTAGGTTTTTGATTCGTATTGTCTGATGCGGCCTGTGGATCTGCGTAGAGATAAGATACATAGCTTGTGAATTGCCTGTGATGTCTTGATGGATTGATCTTCTCGTTTCTCCTTATTTGTGTGAATTATGTGTGTTTTTATGGGAAGATACTGGATCTACAGTCTCTACTTGGGCTGAGATCTCTTGATCTATCATCCTAATTCTTTAGGCTCTGTTTGATTTTTCATTCAATGAAAAGTAGATTTTTTTTAAATATTTTCTTTTTGCTGGAGCATATGTTTGTGGCTAGTATTTTAGAGCTGTGCTGTGGATGGACATAGTCCTATCTTCTGCAATGGAGTATTGGCTTATTTTGGTTTCTAAAACTTTTGCTCAATTTAATGTCTAAATCCGAGATGAGTTTCCCTACTCAAGCTGTAGTGTACATGCCTGTGTATGTATAACTAATCACATTTTTTTAAATTTTCTGATAGTTCATTTGTTCGAAAGGATGATCATTATTCAAGTTTTCTCGTGTTTCTCATCTTTTGTCGAAGCTATTTTCCTCTAAAGAAATTTCATTGGCCTATTATGGCTGTTCAATTTCCTCTGAATGATGCTTATTTTACCTTGTTGGATGTATGATTCGCATTGTACACCCAGATGTACCATATACAAATTCTCAGTCAAATGCAGTAAAAAGAGTAATTACTCCGTATAAATAGCCTTATGAAATTACATGATTTCTGACATGTGGAATATTTTTAAAACTATACAGGAACCTGAACCCATTGATTGGGAATATTACCGAAAGGGTCTTGGTTCTCGCCTGGTGGACATGTACAAGCAGGCATATGACAGTATGTTCTGTTTTCACTTTCAATTTCCATTGAGTAATAACTGACTGAAGCTATGTTCCTGTGAGCTAGGGCCAGAGCATTGCATTTCTTTACCAATCTTAAAATTCTTAAAATTCTTAAAAAACAAGTTGACACTCAAAAATAGTGTTAATACATTTTGTCATGCATATATATGATTATACCTCTTAATGAAGATTTCTTAAATTGGTTATGATCTTTAAGGTAATAATCAACTGTCATAACTAGATAATGTCTTTTTGTTTATTTCTTGGAGCCACGGGACTTAAGTTTCCTGGATGGTTATTAAAATCTTGAAAAGTTATTCTTTTGGCATAAATTTGGACTCTTTTTAGAAGCTATTCCTTATTTATTTTCATTTGACCAAGCTTTTTTATTGAATTTTTTACTGAGTTTTAATCAGTTTGTTGTACGCAGACATTACAATCCCCAAATTTGAAGACAAAGTCACTGCTGAGTACAAACCAAAGTTTGATGCCTTGGTAAGATAATTGATGATATCCCTATTACAATGCCTATATTTGCTTTGGTTCTTTTTTTATTCTCGTCTTTTATTTTCAATCATCTCTATAAAGTCAACTCTTTACCAATTTATAATTGTTATATTGAATTCCTCATACACCTATCATTTGGTAATTTGTTTCTAGCATATACCTCATACTTAATTAAGTTATGCCACCATTTAAGTAGTACATCGGGGCTTTAAAGGAACCAAACTGTTCATAAAGTATTTAAGCCCTAAATTGGAAAATTGATTCATTCATCTTTTAATCAGCAATTCAGCCTCAACCTTTTCTAGCACTACTTACAACAAATTAAAACTTTCAGCACCTTGCTTATTTGACTTGAGAGTTTCTATCACACGTGCGTGTGTTAATTTATAGTTTCAGTTAAGTGTATATAATAGTTTACATGGCAAGATTCTTTTGACTTTAGAAAAAAAATGAGTCGAGAATGACAAGGCAGGGTTCTTTTGACCTTGATTGGTTCCTGCAGTATACTGCCAGGGGCTGGGGGGTTTAGGAGGGGTTTCAGGGGTAGGAACCATCAATTTTACCAACGAGGCACCATAGTCCATAGGTGCACGGGTCATTTTTGGGTCATTTTTTCTAAGGTCTAAAGAACCGTAGTGAATAAATTAATGCAAAAGGTTCCCCACCTGGCTATTTAAAGATGGGTTGATCGAATGAGAGGGGTCACAATATCGGTTGATCAAAGAAGTATAGAAGAACAATAGAGGCATAGAGCTATAGATCAAATGAAAGATGCACTGATGTATTATGTGGTCAGTCATTTAGTCTACTTTACACTAGAAGGGGGTTTTCAGTTTCTTATTTTACAGTAAAGCACTGTGTGATTGAGACGCACCTCACCTGTGCATAAGGCTCTAAAGCAGCCTTTTGTTCATCACTTGTCTCAACTTCTCAGATGTTTTGTGCCTCGAATGCCTTTCACAACTATGGTAATGCTATGAACATTTTGTGACCATTATCATCATAGGTTATTCAACATTCATAAGAATTACTCCCTCGGTCCCAAAATGAAGGTAATTTGGTGGATTCTTGTCAACCATTGACCATTTTTTATAGTAACCATTAACCATTAGTCCATTAATTTCTCTCTAAGTATAAAGTCAAAATATACTAACTTTGATATCGATATATTTGTGATGAAAAGTACTTGTGTCATAGTTTATAATTTTTATAATTTTGACAATGTACTTTAATACTCCGTATAAATTAACTATCAAAGTTTGGCATGAGTTATCATAGAAGCTCAACATTTTGGGACGGAGGGAGTCTTTTCAGACAATGATGAGTTCAGATATTTGTTATTGTCATGCTCCACTACAAGGTTGAAATTGACAAATCAATTCAGAAATAATGGAATATGGTCATTTCACACATATACAATGAACATGGGCAAGGAGGGGTGAAGCTGATAATCCCAAACACTTTTGAGTTTTGTCTGTTGGGTGGGGGGGGGGGGAAGGGGGATGNTGGGACCTGGAAATCATTTTGAGTTAAAAATTTATATGTATCAATTTAGTCCTAGCCAGAAATTTGAAATTATCATAACTTTAATGTTTCTAATATGAATGTACATACGGACATTAACCTCAAACTTTCCAAGCTTGATTTCAGGGTTTGATCTGAGAGAATCTTTTTGTAATGTACTCCGTAATATGGAGTACTGTTCATTTTCCTAACTTTTGGGCACAATTGGGAAGCAATTTTTCCTTCGCCTACTACCTCTGCATCATCTGTTTTGACTGATCATCTCTCTTTGAAAATTTGGGTTCATTTTTATTTGATCCAGATAAGAAGTGGCCCTACTCAAAACATTGGCTCAAAGTGGTATAGCTTAAGTGATGTGTATTGTTGAACTTTGGCCCTCCTAATAAATTTCCTGGATCCACTGCACACACACACTCAGACGCAAATCTATATAGATGCGTGCCCGCACACAAGTTCTTAATTGAAGTATTGAACTGGTTTTCCTTATTCCTTAAGCATGAATCCATTACAAACAAAAATTTCACGAACTGAATTCAAACTGCTTGATTGGCATTGTAAACAAACCTTTTTGTTAAGCCGTTTTGATTTTATTCACTAACCTTTAGAGCATTTTTATGCTCTAAAGCTCTAACAGAGAATGAGTTCTGTCTTTATTTGTGTTCAGAGTTTTAAAATAATCATGTAAAGTCTGACTAATTGTTCATTTCTAGTTTATACTTCTACATAAGTGGGAAACTGGAAAACAGAAAAATGGTTTCCTGTGTTCCAAACAAACACTGCCTAAAATTCTGCAACATGTCTGAAAATCTAGTTCTTTCTTCACTGTAGCTTGTAGAGCTGAAAGAAGCTGAGCAGAAATCTCTCAAGGAATCTGAAAGGCTCGAAAAAGAAATCGCCAATGTCCAAGAGCTGAAGGTGATGCAATTCTGCATTTTGCTGCATATATTTTGTACGCGTATTTTGTGTTCTAATTTTTCTTTTTTGTAATAACAGAAAAACCTCAGCACTATGACAGCAGATGAGTACTTTGCTAAGCATCCAGAGCTAAGGAAGAAGTTCGACGATGAAATTAGGAACGATTACTGGGGTTACTAGTCAGTCATGTGGATCGAACTGCTTTTGGTGAACTTCTATTCAGTTCATCCTTTGATTTAGAAATAAGAGAGAACTGATTTCTTTTTGTTTCTCTGCCTTACAAATTCTCAATTACCAATTTCCCTACATTATACTTGTTGTGAAGGCATGTGTCTCTTCAATTTAAAATCAGGTTGATGATGATACTGCTGCTTGCTTTCTCAATTTTTAGTTTTAAATATTCGGGTTTCGGTCGGGTTGATTAAAATCTCAAATCCGGAACAGGCCTAGATTAGTGTTGGGGTTGGGCTCGGATTTTGAATTTTATGGTTCGGATTTGGATATTGTAGTATTCGGTTGGGTTGGTTACGATCGGGTTCGGACGGAGCTGCTAGAGTTTCTAGCCATCCCTATTGGAGCTGTAGTTATGTTTTTATAGGAGGCCATGGGCTTGACCTTTGAGCCCCGTGTGAAGCCCATCTTGGCCCACGCACTTGGGCTGCGCTTTGACCAGAGGAGAAGTAACATTTGGGCTAGTGCCTACTTGCACACCTTACTTAATAGATGAGTCCTAGGGGAACACTACTTGGGGTTCGCTACATGTACACTAAGTCTAAAATAGGAATACATGGATACTTAATGTCTATGCAAGCACATACATTAAGTATTTGGTGTGCTTATTTTTGATTTGGTGTTAGTTGAAATATTTTGTTCTGGATTATCAACCAGTTGTTTTCTCAAAATTAGAATCTATAACAATTTTAGTTAGAATCCAAAATAAATGGAATATTCCACTGATCTTGGGATGAGAATCTGTAGAATCAACTGAATCTGTTTTTTACTTCATCCATCCCAATTTAAATCGTCAGTTTTAATTTTTGGGTATATTTAAAGAAAATAAAAAATAGAGTTAATTTTTCGAAATTGATATTACTTTTTAGGAGGGGTGATGATGAATGAAAAGATAAGGTGAAGAAGAGTGACTTATTTTAGAAGTAGTTTAGATATTTTATTTTTAAAAATTTACGAAAACAAATACTCCGTAACATGCAACTTATTTTGGGACGGAGAAAAAAGGCAAACATGCAATTTAAAATGGGACAGGAGGATTAATATAAATAAAGCTTCTTTTTCCATGATTTTTATCAAATTTGAGCTAAAGCTTCTCCTTTTTAAAAACTACTAGTACGACTGTACGAGAAATCTGAAACTAGTGCGGTAAATTTGATTCCACGATTGGCATCTAGGTTAGTGATTAGCATTAACATTTTAAAAAAGGATATCTGACGGTAGCTTTTAGTATTAATATTTTTAGAGTTAATTTACGTCATTAAAATTTTATCAAAAACATTAGCACTAATTGAAAAAAGGTGTTTCTAACATTCTAAGACAGGAAACATGTTACCTCTTTATTGTTGAGTTCAACATAATTTTGTCCCTTGTTAGACAGTTTGGCAACATTCAGTTTCTCAATTCTAATCTTGGCAAATGTTTATAGAGAAATTTAAATTATGATATGTTAAATCAATCTCCATATTCTCATTTAGGCCATGTGACAACTTCCTACTTTTCTTGAATTATGCTATATGGCTCCATTAATGCAATTTGGTTTTTTTTGTCAAATTGGATAAATTTTAATCGTCAATTAAATAAAAGTTATACCGTATACGGAGTATAATTATAATTATATGCTTTTTTGTAAAATAAATCTAATGAAATTATTTTTGTATTACGGATTAATATAAAAACGAGTACATTATATTTATTTAGTTAAAGATTAAAATTTATTTAATTTAATTATAAAAATTAAATTAAACAAATATTTTAGGAAAGTTGTACTATAAAATAGTGGCTCAGTTCCATTGCCACTGGTCAATGACTCTTTGAACCACATACGGTGCTCCTTTTGTAAAATCAATAATTCTAACTCCTCTAATCTCACATGCCTCATCCAAAATATGGTCATTAGGTAATTGTTTGATGAAGATTGTAGGTGTTTCGAAAATTAATGCCAATAACAATGTTGTTTAATGACAACGAAACCGCCCTAATAAAATACCACTAACTCGAGATCATAATGATAATTTCAGTTATTGTTGCACATAATTAAATGAATATAATGTGAGATCATAATGATAATTTCAGTTATTGTTACACCAGTTATTGGCTTATGGTGTATGGATTTGTTCTTTTTTAAAAAAATTTTTTTAGTTTGGTTTTTTCATTTAAAATCAGGTTTGAGAACAATATCTTTAATAAGTGTTAGTATCATGAATATTAAAAATAATACAAATTAGTGAAGTACCCATAAAAATTGTTAAACCTAAATAATCCCACATTCCCACTAAATAATTTTTTTGGAACACTCAAGTTATTGCGAAATAGGTAATAAATTTCACTGCCTTGAATTGAAATAAGAATGTATATTTTGAATTAGATGTAAGATCTAAGGTTTGAAAAATTTAAAAAAACTGAAAAAAATATGAAAAAACGTGGTGGTATTATGGTAAATAAATTGAACTTTATTCCTAGTGCCAAAAATGTACTACTACAATATAAAAATGCATCGTGACGGCATACAAATGCATCATTGTCACGATAAGGTCTATTCTCGCAGTAAAATCATTCTCACTTGAACCAACACACACACACATATTCAAAACATTATTTTGTGTGATTAATTTACAATATTGTATTCAATTATAGATCTAAATTTGATAATGGTTGAGTGCAAAAAAATGAAAGCTAGATAAAGGGCCTGTTTGGGAATAGCGTTAGCGATTAGCATCAGCGTTTTGGATAAAATTTTAACGGTGCAGATTAATTTGAAAACGCTAACGCTAAAAGCTGCCCGTAGATAGCTTTTTGAAAACGCTAACGCTAATCGCTAAAGCTATTCCCAAACAGGCCCAAATACTTAAGAAATCACTCTAAATAGGATTAAAAGATAAAAGTGACAAAATAGAATTTCTATATTTTTATCCCAAAATATAAGTTCAGAACTGGTTAATGTGGTATTATATAGACATTTCTCAAAACTTTTTAATTATGTTTATGGTCATGATTAACATTGTACATGCATTAACTTTCATTTCATATACGGAGTATAAAAATATCAAATTTCTATTTTGATATATTTTCAATTTTTTACTAATATTTTAGTCTTTTTTATTTAAATACTTAGTGACAGAGGTAATAATGAACTTACATACACATTAAACACACACAAAATATTATTTTCATTCCATATTATTATTACTAGATTTTAACCCGTGCGATGCACGGCGAGAATTTTATGCAACGATAGACGACATGATACATACTTGTAAAAACAACCCATAATTAGAACTCTTTCCCTTCTTGAAAACACTTCCGCCCTAATTTTTTGTGCACCCCATAAAATACTTTTACTTCTACTTAAAATTTCTAAAGTAGATCCCATTATGTAGTTTATTGCGGGTAGAAGTTATTTTAGAGGTATTTTAGACATTTTAAGTAAAGTAAAAGTATTTTTTGGGGACCGTAAAAAATTAGGATGGAAGTGTTTTCAAGAACAGATGGAGTTATACAACGATAAGTCACTAACTTTCAAATTACATTGGTCTTTTGTTACCAGTTGTAAAATTTGAACACTTATAAAACTTTAGGCGGGAAAAAAATCTTGCTGCTTTTGTAAAGAGTAAGATTATTATTATTATTATTATTATTATTATTATTATTATTATTATTATTATTATTATTATTATTATTATTATTATTATTCCATACATAATAATGAACATTAAAGTTATTTCCATAATGTAACACGCACAACACAAATAACTAAATATATATGCATAACATACACAAAATTTCATGTGTAACACAATAAGCGTGTTTGGAAATAACGTTAGCGATTAACATTAATATTTTAAAAAGGCTATTTACGGGCATCGTTTAGGGTTAATATTTTCAAAGTAATTTACACCGTTAAAATTTAAATCAAAACACTATTCTCTAACGATATTCCCAAACAAGCCTAATATTTTCATATATTGACCATTGATGCGTGAACAATGGGCAGGAAAATTTGGCGAATAATTTCCCTACTTTTAAATAAAACAAATTACTCTAGTAAGACTAAAATATAGTAAAAGTAACAAAATAGAATTTTTCATGGTTTTATTCTCGAAATAAGAATTTGCACTGTGGTAATGTGGAAATAATGTAACACTGTATACGTTCACATTATTATACTTTTTGGTAATGTTTATGACTACATTTGGAAATGTAAATCCATTTTAACTTTTATTTCAATATTAAAAACATGAAAGTCTTATTTTGGAATATTTTTAATGTTTTACTCATTTCCCTTCTAAATAAAGTATTGGTATTGATTTTTATAGTTTACGGAGTTTTTAGTGAAGTTAAATATTCCTTTACTTCCTTTTGGAATCTACTAAAAAAAGATGATCGATTGGAACAAATGCAATTATTATAAAACAAAGTAACTTAGATTTGGCCAAAAGCCCAATGCCCACGCCGAATCTATATCTATACATCTATCGATACATATATACTGAGAGTATTTATAAATAAAGAGAGATCAGGAAGATTGAAGAAAGGAAAGAAAAATTTGGGTTTCTGAAGAGCAACTGAAAGTCCCGAGAAGACAGGAAGGAGGAGGGAGAATGGGCGCGACCGTGAAAGCTTCTCCGGCGAACTTTGCGGCGGAGAACGGCGAAAATGGCGCCGGAAAAGTTGCTGTTCTCAACCTTGCCCAGTAAGTGTTCGTTCTTTTGTTTCTTTTATATTTACCGTTTTGCCCCCCGCCCCAATCCGAGCGCCTCCTCAGCTTCAATTCCGTATATTCCCTCCGATATTGCTGCGCTGTTAATTAATAATACGGACTAATAATAATAATTTCCTCAAAAAATAAAATAAAATAATAATAGCATTGATAATAATAATAACAATAAAAATAATAATAATTTTAAACTATTTTTTATTCTATCGCTACCCTGTGGTCTTTATTTGATTTAGAATTTTAGAATTGAAATTGAATTATTATTATTATTATTATTATTCTTATGGAGTATTATTATTATGGAGCATTATTATTATTTTTAGTATTATTACGGAGTACGGAGTATTATTTATAATAATATTATTATTATTAAGTATTAGTCTGTCGTCATTAACTAATTAGTGAATAGTGAATAATTATCCCTCCACCTAGAGTGCCCACTTTATTTGTCCCACTTATATTATCCTAGTCTATTTTAATGCTGCTCGTTTCAAA